CAACTTACAGTAAGTACCATCACTTATATGTATGTGCTAGGTCATGCAGGGATATATCAATCTCCTCTGCATTAGTAAGATGAGAAAAAAGCAACCATGGAAGGTATTCATCGACATTCAGAGGGAACAAGACTGTTGGAAAAAAAAAAATATGTTCTACGGTATAGCTAGGAAAAGCAAAATATGGGGAATCAATAAAACAGTATATAGTCAGAAGGCCACTGGTAGCATCAGTAACATAAACTCTCTTCTACTTTCTGCAAGACAGCCAGTCTTCATGAGGGATCAGAGCCTGTTATCCCAATCCCTAGGATTATCATCCAAATACAATATTAGCTTCAGGCATACAAATACTGAGAAAAATATTCAAAGTAAATATCAAATGTTTTATAAGTTCTGTAATTATGTTAAGTACAGGGTTCAGCAATAAAAAGAAAAAAAAGCATCTAGTTATAAATACATTTACCTATAAAACATTTCAAAATTGTACATCCTATAATATTTCATGTTTTTATAGACACCACAGGGATTTATGGCATTCCAATGTTTATACATATTATGATATACTCCATAAGGGTAATTGGAATCTGCAATATTACATCAATGACAAGGCCAAGCCACTGTGAAAAAAATAATGCCAGTTACTCTCCTAGTTCACTGTTATGCAAATCAGTGGTCAAATGATCAATCTTGTGATCTGAAGTGCATATGACTGTACTGCATGTAATGATCTCACACATACTTGCCTCACTTGTCACTTTGAAGTGCTCTAAATTGTTCAGAAAACAGGCTAGGCCTAAAAAAAAGATATATGGATACTTCAATTATTTCAAGAGCCACAGGACAATAGAAGCCAGCCAATCACATTAGGCTGTTATAAATTGAGTAGAAGTGTTTTAAAATATTACAAGCAGAGTGTGGTACTGCTTCCAAACCAATGGAACAGTTGCTCAGACACCTGGACAAGGCAGACCACTACTTACAACACTAAACAGACAACCAATATCTTAATTCTTGCTTTCCAAGATTGTAGTATACCTGGTCTTAGACTGAATCAGATGTTTGCAGCCACAACTGGGTGTAATTTAAGTGAATATAAGGAAATTAATATACTTCACAAGAGCAGCCTTTATGCTAGATGTTATGCCCAATAAGGTGCATTATACTCACACTAGGGTACAAAAAAACTCACCAGCAATGGTGCCAAAACATGTACAGTGGACCACCAACATATGGAACAGTGTTCTTAAAATGAATTACATTCTACTAAACAGTCAGATAACATGTGTAAATCACATCCAAATCCATTCTAAATAACACGTATAACAGTGAAGTAAGGGTAACATAGACAAAAGAAGTAAGAGAGGACATACCAACCTCTACAACATGTGGAATGATACTGTTGAGGACACACATTTCAAAGACCTATGATTTATGCAAATCAGGTGTATGATGATCCTTTATGTGATCTAAAATGCAAATGATTGATCATTAAGCCTACACTCATAAATGAATATTTTGTAAAGTTGACTTTATACCTTTACAGTTTCTGATATTGCATTGTAACTTATAGTATAATAACAAATTGTAAGGGCACCCTGAAACCAATGTTACATGTTTGAAGTAAGTGTTGGTAAGACAATGAGGTGTCCTCGTCCACTCTCTAAAAGTGTTGTTTCTCAACAGTATTCCATACATGCTAAATACTATTGAAATTCTATGAGCATCCAGAGCTACTCAATTTGTCTTATCCTCTTTTCAAAATATATATTGACAAGAGTAGCTGTAGTCAGGATCTTCTCAACAGTATTCCATACATGCTAGATACTATTGAAATTCTATGAGCATGCAGAGCTACTCAATTTGTCTTATCCTCTTTTCAAAATATATATTGACAAGTTTAATAGAGTAGCTGTAGTCAGGATCTATTGCACCTGTATAGCACAACATGGAGAGTATTAACAAAATGAGTGTTAATTGATATTATCTTATTACAAGTTGTACTATGTCATAGCCAAAGTATGATATATTTAAATTACTTTTCAATATTTTTCATGCAGTGTGGTATATGTAGAAGTGAGAAAAATATTGGTAAAGGTTATATACACTTTCTATTCAAAGGACCAAAAAAGCTTAGTGTTACTTACAGTCAAGGTTATCTAATGGGTTTTCTTGGATTACTTGGGGTGCATTTACCAAATTCTTCTTGACATTTTCTGCTGAGGCATCTTTGTATTTTTTCACTGTAATCATTAAGACACAACTGATGAAATATAAATTGTTTTTAAATAAATGGTTTTGAAAAAGGCTTAAGAATTGTAGCACTTATCAAACATTAAATGTGGCTAATTGGATTCATTAAGTATATTTAGGCTTTTTCTACATGGTAAAAATATTTGGTTTCTTCCACTTTTGAAAACAAATGTATGCTCGGAAGTTTGATAGTATCTCTTTAAGGGTAAATACTCATTGTGGTATAAGTTGTTCTTATACCTTTAGGAACCTTCATATAACTAGATGTATCACAATTTAGAAAGTTTCAGTATATTAAAAAATGTTGTCATACCACTGTCTCCATATTCAAGTCTTACAGAAAAACCTAGTAGCCAATCTATCACAGCATTTCTGTCTGATAAGTCAAATGGACACTCCACGTGCTTCAGGTACTACGGCAGTAGAAATAAACACTTATTAAATGTTTACACAGCTTTATACGACAATAACAAAGACTACATATGGTGTACCTTAAGTATCTGTGACAATCTTATTTTATTATCTGATAAGAAAATACTTGATGCTACCAGTGATGTAAAATGTTATTTACTACTAGCTTGAAGACAATGAGCAGCACTTAGTTAAATAAAAAAACAACAACTGGGATTACTGAAAGCAATGGCGATTCTGGCTTCATAAATGGGTGCTCAGACTGGCACATCAAGGTCATCTTGTCCATCAGAGTCCAAGAAAATAATTAAAGAAACCAATGAAAACAAGAGAAATTCACCCTTACTTATTTCAATTCATATGGTTATTCAACAAAGGTTTAAGAAATTCAAGGCAACAACAGTTTATAACTGTAACAGAGAAATACTTGTTTAAAGTGTTTTCTTGTACTTCCATTTTTAGTACAAATCTACACAAAGGGCTAACTGCATTCTGTTCACAATGAAGTCAGGATCTAAGCTTCAAAATTTAATCATATTTCCCTACCAAAAATCAAGTTTGTATTTCAGGATATTTTGTTCCACCATTGAAATTGACCAAACTGCCCAAGAATGTAAAATCATGTGTGCTGTTAGTTTACATTTATTTAAGCTTTTGTCAGATTGGTAAATGAAGTTGAAAATATATGAAAATCTCAAACAACATACAGTTAATATTGATTATTACCTGATGTTTGGGTGTTCCTTCACTTAACTACTGGAGGCGAAGAGTTACAATTAGTTTAATTTTCATATTTTGGTGATTTAGGAAATGTTATCTTAATGAACCAAATGGCCTTGTGTTCTTTATCATTCTTATTACTTTTATTTTTTGACATGCTAGGTACAGTGCAATGGAAGAGCTATTACAATGGTACATAGTTTTAAAAAATGTATGTCTTGAAAACAGGCTTAGAAAACTGAATTTGTTATTACTGGTTTTGGGTTTTAAGATGTTAGAAACCTCAATAAACTTACCTTAAGTGATAAATTCATATAGAAGAATGAAACTGTACCATGATTTTCTTTAAAAACTGTAACACTTCATAGAGTGCCAAACTAGATGGGCACTCAGTAGAGTGCATTGATCTTATTTGGCTCTTAAAAAATACGAAAATGTGTCCATATGTCCATCATTATCAATGAAAAAATCCCAGCAGCTACATTTTCGAACCTGAATGCTCTATTGTGCTGGATGTACTCATTGCATTGTAAACCCAAACATATTTGCCAACAATGCATTGCAGTCTGTTTACTTTGCTTAAAAACAAAAGCAATGCAATTTTCCTTACTGAAATAACACATGGAATGACAAAAGATGGTTATAACAGCCCACTAGACAATCATAATGCATGTATGCTCCGATCCAAAGGATTGGGTTTACTGTACATTTATATTTATTCATCACTATTTTAAGAAAACCTACTATTGAATTGTTTCAATGGGCATCTGCTAGTATTGAATAATTTTATACTTTTGTCTGTTACAACCTTAGTGTAAAGAACTGACAAAAGAAATTGAGTGACATCATTCATGTAGTCTACACAGAAAACCTAAACAGTAAAAAGGGTAATAACTGCAATATTGACAGTGTTTTTGTTTAAAGTTTTATGTGATTCTGTAACCAACAAATTCATGATGCAAAAATTGCTTAAAAATTGTGTTTATAAAACAGAGGGTATCCTATCAATAATTTTAGGGTAACTTGATAAGTTCATTTATTCCATAACCTTTAACAGAAAAAAAAAAATTAACTTTGAAGTACCATCTTAACAATACTTTTTGAAAAACAAACTACCAGATTAGATTCTAAAAATCAAAAATACAAGTACCTGTCAATTAAAATACATACAAACACACACTCACTTGTTTAAACACACTTTCCCAGTTTGAATTATTAATATTTCTTAAGTCTTCTCTGTCTTCAATCTTATAAAACCTTATTTTTTGATCTTCCAGCCAGACCACAACATTTCGAAAGTCATTCTCATCTGTGAAATATATATTTGAAAATATAAAAAAAACTTACTAATTCAATCCAGAATACAAACAAAAATCACTTTAACTTGAGACAGACCATCAATTAAGATATTATTCAAAAACTTTGCTAAAAGTAATTTACTACTATTGTTTTAAATCAAATCTTTATTTCTCAGCTAATATAAAAATATATAACTTTACAACTACATAACAATGTAATTCAGTGAATGAAACATTATCAATCATATTCAACTGTAACATCCTGAGTTTGAAAAGCAGTATAAGAAGTCTTATGACTTATACTTCAAAACTCCTATAACTTACGCAAAGACTAGTTTAAAAAAAAAAAAATACTAAAATAAATTTCTAGATGTTGCAATGAAACATATCTTAATACAACAAACAGTAATATAGTTAGCTACATTGCACAGATTTTTAATTTATATTTCATTTCACATAAAACAAATGTTCTAACAAAATTTACTAAGAAACATTAAACTATCTCTTATAATAATACTCAGTTTTTATCTGTTGTGTGCACTTCATTTCAAAAGATGTTAACAAAAGGCAGGTATAAATATACTTCAGTCGACATTTTGTACAAAAACATATTAAAAGCTTATCAAAGTTTTTAAAAAGGTCTAATGTTAAGTCATATAATAACATGGTAAGTTTATTTATTGATTGTATTAAGTATGGTAAAGTTTAGCCCTAACTAAATTAAACCAAAAAACATGCACAAGTTGCAGTGTTAATTTATTTCTATAGTGAATATACACTGATGCATAATAAAGGCTTAAGTAATGTTAGGCCTAAGACAAGTGGACTTTCAGATTTTGGTGTCTGTGATTAGAATTCTTGTGTTATTCTAGTATTTAAAGAAGTACCATTGCTATAAAGATATTAATTTGACTGCAAATGTTTTGTGGGTCTCTTCTAGCTAAAATTAATAAACACCAATTTAACAGTCATATTTTCTAAGTAGCATTCCTTTATATTTTTTTTTTGTTCTCAGAAGAATTATAAATTTGATTATTCTTTCTGATTTTAAACATGTATGAAAACATTTTTTGTTGGAAATTGTACAGCTGTCTGATATGATATTTGTGTTCAAAAGGGACAATACAACTCTATATAGGTTTTAGATAAATATCTTATAATAGTTAAATTTCTAAATTTACTAAGTAATGGTACTCTATATTTATTATGATCTATATTATATATGCATCTTAAACATTTTTTGTGAAACAAAGTTACTTTTTTCTGACTTAATCTTATACATATTCCATTAAACCTCATTGCAGTAACTTAAGATACCAGTAATATTAAAGTACAATACAAAGCATTAAACAGGTCACCACTTACATAAAAATTTATCTTTGAATGAAATACCTGTATTCTTCGATACTTTTGTCTGAATTATTCTAACATGTATACTCATTTTACTATCAACACATACCCTTAAAAATCTATAGCGATATAAACTTTTTAAACATCTATGTCATCAATTACAATAAATTTGAGAACTACATCCACCATAAAAAACATAGCGTGTTATTTTTAACATTTAATTACAGTTTGATCACTTTAAACAATTCGTTAAGCAACTGTTTCTCTTTGTTAATTTTATTTAATACATCAGTCAAATTACTTACAGTATAAAATACTTGTGTTATCTGCAAACAAAACAAATTTTAAAATCTTTTATACATTAGATAAATAATAGTATAAAGAATAAACAAAAGAAGTCTTAAAAGTAATCTCAGAGGGGTTCCATAAGTATTACTCAGTTTTATTTATAAATATATACTGATATTCATTAGTTAAATAGATTGGCAATAATACCCCTAAGCAAATACACTTCAAGCTTGTTTAGAATAATTTCATGTTCAAAAGTACCAAATGCCTTTTTTTAAATCAAAAATTCACCCAAAATACCTCTGTACTTAACTAGGGATATCAATATTTTTTCTCTTAGTTCTGTAAGTGATAATGAAGTAGCAAGATTATTTTTAAAACCATGCTGCTCATTACAAGATACATTTTTATTAATCAATTAGCTGGAGCACCCATCCATTGGATGGGTGAACTAAAAACTCTTATGTAACAAAGGATAGAAAATTGTGCTTCTATTTTTTTCTTAATATAATTAACATTAAAAGTGTAATAAAAATACATAAAGATACCAATACTGAAAAGAAAGACATACTGTTTTCAAAAATTGTATCAATATGAAATTAGATGTGGTTCAATCCCCTCATGACCTTCATGTCAACCTGTAATACTGTGTTCAGTTTCGTTCTGACTGATCAAGAAATGTGGAAATGTATAAGGAACAAATACAAACATTTATTTATATAGAAGATGGGGGGTGTCAATCCTCACCCCCCTTAATGACTTTCCTCATGTCATCCTGTATCACCAGGTTGGCTCAAAAAGAGTACAAAAGATAAAATTAAAGAAAAGCATCATAAATTTAAGAAATTTAAATTTAATAGTATGACATGAGATTTAGAAGATCAAGAAATTTGGCGAAGCAGGAAATTAGGACATCAAAAAGGATGTATGAGAAAAAGTTGGTTGAAAATGTAAAAATTAACAGCAAGGATTTCTATAAATACATTAAGGGTGAACAAAATGTCAGGATGGGGGGGGGGGGTAAGAACCTTGAGGGATGATAAAGGAAGGCTTGTATCTGATAATTCTGAGATGACTGGGTTATTAAATTTTGCTTTTTCTTTGATTCTTACAAATGAAGATTTAAGCAGTATTTCACATCTTTAACAGTTGATAAATGGAAAAAAGACCAAACAAGATGACTGTATTAATTCTCAGCTGGTTTAAAAAAAAGTGGGAAGTTTAAAGAATGATAGGACTCCTGGGCCAGATAGTATTTCCCCAGGTGTTTTGAAGGAGGTTAAAGACTGGATATGTAAGCCACTTGCTACTATTTTTTGTCAGTCCGTGAATAGAGGGCAAGTATCAGAGGATTGGAAGTTAGCTAATGTAACACCTCTTTTCAAGGGAGGTGATAAAATTTGTCTCAGTAATTATAGAACCATTGGTCTTACATAAGTTGTGGTAAACGTTTTGGAAAGTCTGATAAATGATGCTTTACAAAGTCATTTAACAAAGTTTAGAATTTTATTAGGGAGTTTCAGTGACTTTTAAATAATGAGAAAGGAAATAATTCACACCTCAGTGGATTCCACAAACACATATTAGTAGATTTAAATTGCAAGTTCAATTATCATACCTGGAAATCGACCTTTCATTACATGCTACTGTCCCATTGGAACAATGTTAACAAAATGTGAGTGACTTATCATTTTACCTGGTAACCTGATACTACATGACACCCGTGTCAAGTCAAGATAAAATGTAGTCCCAAGAAAATCAACCAATGGCAAATTCATACACACTGATACATATTATATGGATAAATGAATTTACATTTTCAACAACCAATTGTTAGAAATGAGCTTACCTATGTACTTATGAAAGTAAAGGAAAGATTTTGTAATATCATTGGTTGAAAATATGAAATACTGTGATTGACAGATATGTACGAGTAGTAAACCCCACCTGTTCTATGCCATGTCATGATGTAAATAATAAATTGTATTGTTAAGTTCAAGATATTAGTTATCCCAAGATATAATTGTAATATGAAAGTTAAGGAAACATGCATTTGTCTATGAATTATCAATGAAATTAGTAATAAGTGCAGATATACTATATTATTTAAGGAATGTTAGTAGCAAAGGTGGCTTATTCATAGACTAATTATAGGTAACAATCAGTTAGATTAACAACTTCTATTATTGAAATGCCAGAGCATTTTGGTAACACTACATTCCAACATTTCGTCAACTATTCAATATTGCTTCCATTATGTGAAATGGACATGTTTCAATTTTAGGATAGTATATTGATGATAATTATATTAATTCTTAAAGCACAGATGAAAAACTATTTTTAAGACCATGTTGTCCTCGCTCCACTAAAGTTGTTTGTATAATTATTCAAAAATACACATGGAATGCATTAAGGTTATAGTCTGTATTTGGTTTTGTGAGGTACTTCATTTCCATTTAATATAGATATTGATTGCATAACCCTCTAAGTTAAGAGTTGTGATTTCTAATTATTGAACATGTATGTATAAATCACACTCTTATTTAATAAACAAACAATACTGCCACTGTTCATACCACTTTGATCAGTGATAATTGCTGCACACGTTCTTTCACTGTAGCCACATCCAATGATATGATGTAGAGCAAACTGCTGTCAGGACAATATAGTATGTTTACGACCGACAATATGATGTAATGCAACATGTTGCCTGGGTAACCAATAGGCTGTTTACAATCCTCATTCATCATTTTTTGACATGCTGTCAGTTCCATTTGAGCAGATGCAGCTATATATTAACTGATTCATTATGTAGCCTCTGACACCAAGTTTATTGTATACCTTTGTTTCAGTCGATTCAATGGCTAAGTTGAATTTTAAAGGGTTTTATATGTGAGTTTTAAAATAGTAAATACTTCTTGATCCAATGAAACTGGCCAGATCAAAATAGAGCACAAAGAGAGCTAATGTTTGATGTATCACTGGCCTTTATTGGTCAAGCCAATTTGAACAGACACACTGGTTTTGGTTTTAACACTCGCTCGCTGATGATGGCTTAAACAATAATTGCAATAGTTTTTAAAGCCAATTTCAACTAGTAGGAGTACGGTTGCCTTCTAATATATCATGCCAGTTCAACGTATATTAATAATGTTAGATATTTTCCATTTGTTGTTTGGTGTACAATCACTCATATTTTATTTATGTGAGCATTATATATTCAAAACTATGATTTCGTATTCACATGCTTTCTTGGCTGAGAACTATAATTCTCTGGGACTCCCTAATTTTACTGGATAGCCAACATGGTTTCACTGAAGGAAAATCTTGCCTTACAAGGGTAAGAGTGTATACTTGGAAGAAAGCATAGGGTTGTTATAAATGGAGTTCATTCAAACTGGATTAATGTCACAAGTGGGGTACCTCAGGGCTCAGTCTTAGAACCTTTGCTCTTTTTGATTTACATCAATGACAT